TGCCCTCTTCCCGGCAAGGGGGCTGAGTTGGGGCTGCACTGGAGATGGGATTTGGGGGCTACAGTGAATTTTGAGGTGGTTATAGCCCACCCTGTAGCCCCACTCCCAGTGCCACCATCTGCCCAGAGTGCAGCCCTGGCCCAGCCCCCCCGCCAGGAAGAGCCCAACACCACCCCCATCCCCAGCCCACCCTCACCTCACAGATGATCTGCTTGCAGTTCTGTCCTCCACCCAGCCCCACTCCAGGGGCCCCAATCTTCCGCCCTTCCTCCCCCCAACATATTGGCAATCACATCAATATCTGCCAATATGGCTTGTTAATCAACGTGGGCCATCGGTATTGGCCCAGATAGTCTTTATTGGTTCACCCCCATATGATACCCTAGATCTACACCAGTAAAGTTGTTCTGGTTTCTCAAAATATCTTTTTATACCAGAGGACTACTTCTTCGGTGATATACAGATATCCCATGTTATTTCAAAATAAAAGGCAGAAAACTTCAGCAAGTCCCAAAGTAAGGACTGAGTACCATTCTAACCATGCAGATCTTTGAGGCAAAACTCTTATCATCTCAAATATCTGGCATATTGACACTAAATATAGTCATTCACATTAAGGAATGAACTTTCAAATAGGTCCCAAAAAACTACCCTCACAAGTTTTGAAGGTACAAATCAGATGGAAAGAAACATTTTATTTTAAGACTAAAAGTGCAGCAGGCCTATGGCAAAGGCTGTTTTGTACATACTCAGCAGCTTGTTAGATATGAGCCAGTATAAATGTATTTACACTTAAACAGGCTTGGAGGAAACCTTTTTGGATTAAAGGTCAGATGAGTCATTGATTGTTTACCCTTTGCTAGCTAGTCATGTGGAATTGTTTGGTCTGTGATATGTATTACTGGAAACAGCAGCTGAGGCCAGCAGTCAGTCCCCAGAGATGATGTTGTCTGAATCCTCAGGACACTGCAGTAGAGTATGCTGTGAGGCAGTGGGTGGGTGAGAAGCCTGGACTGGCCTGCACAATCAAGCATCAGTCTGGGCCAGGGAGGGGAGCCAAGGACCCATCCTTTCTGAAGTCTAGGTGACACTTGATTACCCACGTGTGCGCACAGATAGACACAGACATCCTTTCTCCAGCCCTTACTTGGACTGAAAGGCTAGAACAGGAGCGGGCAAAGTCTGGCCCATGGGCTGATTCCAGCTGGCAGTGGATTCCATTTCCCAGCAGCCCCTGCCCACATGGCCGGGGCTGGTCTCCATGGAGAACCCAGCAACAGCTGCACTGTGATAAGGCAGGGGGCTGCTCTGGAGCAGATCCTGGCTCTGCCCTGGCCCCAAACCAAGCTGCTCCCACCACAAGATCCCAGCAGCTCTGGAGCAGCCCCCTGCCTTGCCCTGCCCTGTGCCCTGCCAGAAAAGCTGGGGCTGGTCTCCATGGCAACCCTAGCCTTGCGTTATCACAACACAATGGCGCCTGTGGTCTCCATGGAGATGGGCCCCAGCTATGCAGACGAGGGCTGTTGGGAAATAGAGTCCAGCTCCCTGTCACATCTGCTCTTTTGCCCACTCCTGGGCTAGAACCTTAATCTTGCAAAGACACATGCCTGTGTTGCATTCTCTATCTTGGGAATAGTTCAATTTGTCAGACTTATTCCTGGATGCAAAGTTAAGCATATGCATAAGTCTTTTCAGGATTGGGATATTCTATGTAGCTTCCTCTTGTACAAATGAAAGGTGCTCGCAATCTTTTCTTGCCTGCTCTTGTATATTTATATAGGTTGGCAGAGGATGGCCTGTAACATCACTGTTTATGACACACTAGTTTAGTTTCACAGATTATAGTAATATCTAGAAATATTGCATGTTCAAACTCTGTTCTTACCATGTTTCTCCCAGTAGATTTTAATATATCCTGTTTCTTACAAGTTCAGAGCCATCAAACTGTACACATAGCTAGTTGGAAAAATTGTGATCTAATTCTTTCCCTTATTCCTCTTTCCCGTCCTGTTTGCAACACTTACTGGTTGTGTATTGCCCTGCATTAGTGAAATTGGGAATTAGTGAATTAGTGAATAAGAGGTCCATCTACCTATATCACATTGTAGACTCAAGGTTTTAAATTCTAAGGTCTGTGGAGGTCAAGACTGCATTTTCATGTGTGTAGTGAAACCCTACCATGATAAGGCACTGTCCATGATAATTTTGTTACCAAAATATGAGTAATAGCTTCTAGAAGTACCAGAGAGATTTAGGAGCACAAGTCTCATTAAAAGTTTGCATTTGTGATCCTAAGGGTGCCTCCAGGTGTTTAGGGGCTGCGCTCTAACTCATGGTGCTTTACACAAAATGCCATGAGTTAGAGCCTCCCACCCCACTGAACCAACAGATATTTGCCTGTTTGCTGAGGGAGAAACGAGCTGCCGACACTGGCCCTGGCCAGCAGGTGTGGGCACTCCAGCAGCTTCTGAGGAGGCTACGAAAATATCCCTCTCCCTCAGCTCTGGCCACCCCTGAGGCTGTCGGCTGGGGGAGGGGGAGGGGGAAGCACGCAGCTGCCAGCTAGGCTTTGTTTGGCCAGAGCTGGAGGTGTGGTGGAGCAGAGCCCCTTCGCCTTGCAGGTCCAGCCTGACTCCCATCAATACCTCAGCTGATATTGGATTCCCTCTCGACCCCCCTCTTCTTCCCCTGCTGACAGCCCTGAGGGCAAGGGTGAGCTGCTGCTCGCGCCAACCCAGCCTCACAAAGGCATGAAAAATTAATCCTCAAAGGAACACAAGTTTCTGAAGGTGCTGTGCTCTATAGCGCCTTCATAAAATCATAGAAAATTAGGGTTGGAAGAGACCTCAGGAGGTCATCTAGTCCAACCCCCTGCTCAAACCAGGACTATCCCCAACTAGGTCATCCCAGCTAAGGCTTTGTCTAGCTGGGTCTTAGAAACCCCCAAAGATTAAGAGTCCACATTCTCTCTAGGTAACTTGTTCCAGTGTTTTACTATCTGCCTAGTGAGAAAATTGTTATTATCTAACCTAAGCTTCCCATGCTGCAACTTGAGACCGTTGCCCCTTGTTCTGTCATCTGCCTCCACTGAGAACAGTCAAGCTCCATCCTCTTTTGAACCCCACCTTCAGGTAGTTGAAGGCTGCTTTTATCCCCTCTGTCTTCTCTTGTCTAGACTAAATAAGCTCTGTTCCCTCAGCCTCTCATAAGTCATGTGCCCCAGCCCCCTCACCATTTTCATTGCCCTCCTCTGGACTCTCCAATTTGTCCACATACTTTCTGCTGTTGGGGGGCCGAAAACTAGATACAGATGGGGCCTCACCAGTTCTGAATGGAAGGGAATAATCCAAGGATGGGCAAAATACAGCCCGTGGGCCGGATCCAGCTAGCCAAGGACTTCCCTCTGGCCTGTGGGGCCCCTTCAAAACCCATGTAATGGCGGCTGCCTCTCTCAA